TGCACATCATCTACAATCGACTGATGTCGTCACGGAACAAGACATAGGTAAATGGTCCCAGGGCAACTCTTATATGGTGTTTGATTAATGAACATGATTTTGATGGGGCCAAGGCTATTTGAGAAAAGATGGAAATTTGTTCACCATTACAGTGGTATGGTTTCTTCTTTCCGTTGTAAGCCAACACTTTTGTGCCGTGAGGCATGAGTTCTACAAAATAAGGCAACAAATAGGAAGGTAAAACATGAAAAGATATTTCGAGTTGATAAAGTGATCAGTAGGAAGGAGCCTGTCACTGTTGAGGAGGTTGAGAGTGAGTATTCTGACGGATATGTTGAGGACAGGGAGGTGCACATGGAGGATGTTGGTGCTAGTAAACCGCCGACCAAGTTACGAGTGCATCGTCAAGTAATTCATGGGAGGCGTGACTGTTTGTATTGGAACAGGAGATGGCTGGAATGCGAACTTTTGTAGATGGACTGACTACTCGAGTGGAGTCACTTGTGGGGCAAACTGAAAAATCTGAGTGAAAGATCATGGCATGGTTGCGTGCACTTGACTGGGCTTATCACATGGACCCCGACATAGTCTCAGACACAGATTGACCCACTCAGGGGAGTTTCCTTCACCTTTACATTTTAATTTTGTATCATGGGGACATGCCACTATTTAAGTGTGGTACGGGGGTTGTAAATAGTTATTTTTTAATTAACTTTTTTTAAATAACCCAAAATAGATAACTTCTTGACTTGTACTTCCATGGGTTTCTTGTTTAGTTTTTTACCATGATCGTAATATTTTGAACCAAATGCTTTCTAGAGTAGATTTTTCTTTGTTTTGGAAATTTTTTTGAAAAATTGCCTGAGGTTGGCAGAATTGACTGAGCCTAACCTGTAGGATGCATGCTCCTTTCCTCTTGAGTCGTAGATACCATTGGTGATTACAGTCTGAGTCGAGTGCCAATCCAGAATATTGGGTGTGGTGAGATGAATGTTTGTATAGTAATCATGCCCTACAAAGCACCTGGCTTGGTTGTGACTCAAGAAAAAATCATAGTTAATAATTGAGTTTTAAAATAATCGTAGGCTCTCTTTGTTAGCCATTCTTTGCTATTTTGACCCCTCCAAAGATATGATGAGTTATCCTTACTTAGCCCAGTTGACCCTAAATTCCTCTTTCCTTGGAAACCATATTACGACCTTGACTCTTGGTTTGAATCAACCATCTCTTTCAACCGTCATCATCCCTAAGTATTTAAGTGCCCTGTGTGTGATTCTAGAAAGATAAAAAGAACTAAGTGTAGGGATAGGGCTTGGTTTTGAGTGGAACCATAAAAAAGTGGAAAAATGTGCATCATCTTGAATGTATGTGAGGCCCATGAGCAGGGAATTATAAAATATGTTGTAAAAAAAAGGTAAACAATTTTCATACTCTCGTGTTATGTAGAGTGAACATAAGAGAACACTCCCCTGCTGATAGTCACTCCCTGTTATGTTGTTCTTAAAGAAATGAGAACTGGGTGTTGGTTTTGAAATGGGAGTTTTGGGTCATTGTCACGTTAAATGTGTAGGTCATGTACGAAGTGGTAAGTATTAAAGTGCTTAGGGAAGTGTAGCTATTCTTATCCAAATTGTATCCTACCCGTCTCAGTGCTTACATTTCAACCAAATGCAAAGCCCTACATGATCTGGACGAAAATGTTCCTACATCAATGGAGAGTCACACGATAGCCAAACTTATGGTACTCTTGAAGGCATGATTCACTTCTTTTGTGAGTGTGAGCGATTGTTGCATTATTTCCCTATGTTTTTCTTCATAAATAGTGTGTGAATAAGGGCATTTTTCTTTCTTGGGAGGTGTATCGAGGATTTGGTGCTGATTTGACCTTGGTTCCAATAGGATGGCATGACTGAGGTTAAAGTTGAATGTGATCATAGGGTTGTATCTAGTTAATTCTTTCTAGCCACTTGTCTAAGGAGGCTATAGTGTAAAAAGCAGTTAATTTCTGAATTCGCTCAAGACGAGTAAAATTTAAGTGTGGGGGTATTTGATGAGCTTAATATCGCTTGACATTTTAGGCCCTTTTTATCAATAATCAAGTTGAATTGATAGATAATTTGCTTGAATTATGGACTGATTTATTGATTTTTGGTGTAGGTGTATATGAGATTGATATAGGAAAAATAACGGACAATCTGGGAGGAAAAAGATCGGAAGAAGAAGAAGAGGAAGAAGAAATTGTTGCGCGGCCACGCAACTGAAGCCCAGAACGTGCACATGAGGTAAGAGACCTGGAGGATGAGCGCGCCCAAGTTTTCAGGTGCAAGGCAGTGCACGTCCGCCTTCGTGAAACTTAATTCAGGCCTAATTTTGTAACTCTTGGTCATTCCCCTTGACCTATATAAAGCCTAAGATCGTCCCAAATGAGGTATCTTGGAATTTTGGACAACCTTTGGAGTGAAGAAGTTAAAGAAACAACGGAGACTTGGAATCCTTGATCCAAATTATTCAATACGAAAATTTATTTGAGTCTGTGGGTTGTAATGTCTTCTTGTTCTCTTAATACTCCTGTGATGAATAATTTCTCTACTACGGAGTAGTTTGTCCTAGTATTATTGACAGATATTGTACCTTGACTGTTATTCAAGGATTTCATTTGACTTTTGTTAGTGCTTGAATTTGTTGAATGAGTTTCAAATTGATTTGGAAGTTATTTGTGATTCTACTTTAATCAAAAGAGAAGTTTTATTGTGAATATCATTGTGTTATCTTATTTGGGTGAATTTCACGACTATCATAGGTAATCAAAAGAGCTTGTAGAGTTATCAATTAACCTAATCTAGAGGAATAGTCGAGAGACGTTCTTCGTAAGACCAATCATTAAACGTATTTGTGTAGATGTTTATAGCAATTGTCATTAGGTTATTTAACGGAATTCCCATTCATTCGAAAGAAGAATTTGAATCCTAAAGATAATTTAACCAAATCGAAAGAGTCAACATAACATAGAAATTAAACTTGGAACAGAGTTATATCTCGATTAACAGTTGTGCACATATCTTGTCAATGTCCTTATTTCTCTCACTGATATTCAATTGTTGCAACCTAATTCCCCATTTTCTGAATAGTGTTAAGCTAAAAATTTATTCAAAAATTATTTAAATCAATTCATGTGGAGACGATTTAATAACTATACTATCTATGATTAGCGAGTATTAACTTTGTACACCGGTTTTGCGCTCATCAATATCTTTAGGGTACCATGGATAAGGACTTGTATTATTCTGATTCCCCTAATTTTTTATCCATGCTTATTCAGATAGTGATTGAGTTGTTTGTCTTGATACTAGAAGGTCTGTGACTTGGTTTTATATGCTTTTAGGTGGCAGTCTTATTAGTTAGAAGTACAAGAAGCAACTAGTTGTTTCTTTATCCTTTGTTGAGGTTGAATTCAGGGCTCTTAGTAAAATGGTTACTGAATTGATATGGTTTTTTGTTTAGCAGATTTTGGCTCCTGTTTTACTTCCTTTCTTTGTTTTCTATGACAATCAGGCTGCTCTGCATGTAGCAAGAACCCAGTATTCCATGAGAAAATAAAATATATTGAGATTGATTGATATTTCATCCGGACTAAGCTCAATGATGGTTGAATTCAACTATTCCATATTTCAACTTCCAAGCAGCTGGCGGATGTGCTAACTAAACCTCTACTTGGTTAGAGTACTCTTCATCACCAATTTATAGGCAAGTTGAAGATGGTGTTCACCTCCGATTTGTAAAAGGTGTTGAGCTTTTGGATTACATGGCATCCAGGCCGTGACAATAACTTGTTAAGTGGTTGTATCGGTTGATATATTTATGTTGGACCATTTTGTATTTGGGCCACTTTTATTATGTACAAAGGTTTCAAATAGTCTTTTATTCATTTTTACCCTATTTATGACCAAACTATAAATATAGGAACTTAGATTAGATGGACCGTCAGATTATTTTACACAATTCTCTTTTTCTGTATAACTGATACACTCTTTTTTTCATGGTTAAAAATTCTAATAATATTTATTTGATTTCGGCTCGACTCACTTTGTTGTCAAATGAATATGGTGGAGGGTGGTTGAGAGGAGATGAGAAAGGAGAAAGAGAAAAAAAAAATTAAAAAGTAAAACCATGACTTTCCGCGCGGTCAAATATGGTAAATACACGTACATTGCCATGTTAATGAAATATTTGAGTTTTGAGTTTAGGTTGTTATTTATGCTATATTTTCTAAATTTTTAATCTTTTAAGAATTTATTATAAAATCTACCTCTATTTTTAATAATTTAAATTGTACATTCATGCATTAAATATATGTTTATAAGGTTCTCACCATTTTTATTCTCAATTGTGTAAATATATTATTTTTAAATTGTAATTGTTATTAATTATATTACTGATACGAGCAAAATTATTTTATTTTATTTTATCTTTATTTCGTTCATTATTTTTATTATTTAATGTCATTAAGTGATGCTTGATTGTAATTTGTATTTTTATTTTCAAAATGAGATTTACTTGATTTTAAAAAAGAAAAAAGTATCATGATATTAAAAAAGTAAAAAAAAAAATGAGAGATAAATATTGATAATATAGAGGATAAAATAGGTGTTTAAAACACCAATTGAGAAATGATGAGAAGAATGTCTATTATTCTAACATAGAGAAATTTTGATTTTGAAATTAAAGTTGGGAAGTGTTACTAATTTTTATTCAATGAAAAAACAGAAGGAGTGAGCTTTCAAGGTCATTTATAATGTTGAAATTAAGAAAATATTATTTTTAAATTTTCTATGCGTAAAAGATAAATCTTTATGTATAAAAGTAAATATCATATATCTAAAAAAAAATATTAAAACTAAAAATAAATTTGCAAACCCACGAAAAAAATAAAACCAATTGAGATAGAGTAGTAGAGGGAAAGAGAAGTGTCATTATTGAATTGAACCACAAACAAGGTAAAGGTGCACCAACTCCATTTATTAAAGGAACAAATCCTAGGCTCAGTATCTTTGACAAATCTTTGTGTCGTCATTCGTAAAATCTTAACCCCTGCCAAAGCTTATTATAAGCGATCAATCTTATCTCCCATTCTCCACAAGGAGCAGAGAGACAACTCAGAACTGTTCATCAATGGACCATCCCTCTCCTCACGTGCTCCTCTTCCCTCTTCCAATACAAAGCCCTATCAATTCTATGCTTCATCTTGCCGAGCTCTTCTGTCTCGCCGGTTTGCAGGTCACTTTCCTCAACACCAACCATAATCAGAAACTTCTCCTCCGTCACACCAACGTGGAATCAAGATTCCGGCAATATCCCCGGTTCCGTTTCCGGACCATTTCTGACGGCCTACCGGAGGAAAATCCCCGATCGTCGGTACAGTTTGGAGAGCTTATTAGCTCTTTGCAAGCTGTGGCGGAGCCTTTCCTCAGAGAAATATTGCTCAGTAGTAGTAGTGATGGAGTTACAGAGCCGCCGGTGACGTGTGTTATACCAGATGGGTTGTTTTATTATGCAGTGGATATTGGTAATGAGATAGGAGTTCCAGTTATCCCTTTCGACACTATTAGTCCTTGTTGCCTTTGGGTTTATCTCTGTATTCCGAAACTCATTCAAGCCGAAGAGATTCCTTTCAAAGGTACTCTTCCTTTTCTTTTTATATAAAATTGATTATACATCGACAAATGGTATTTCTTTTACTTCCATTCTTTATCCACTCGCCCCTTTTCCCTCATTATATAACATTGATACAAGTTGAGTTGTGTTGAGTACACTTTACGTGTGAACATAAAAGAAACTTAAATATAAAATTTTAGCATATCACTGTTTCGCACTCCTCTCTTCCATTTTATGTCTCTGTTGATCAAATTACCTAAAAAAGATTATATTAATTCGGATATAAAATTTTCAGATTTTTTGGGAGTAATTTATTTCATATTTTTAAAAGATATTATAAGTTAAAATATGTAACAAGTTTATATATTAAAAAAATTCATTGTGAAATAAACTTATTTGACTTGACTTTTCGAATAATAAGTAAAGTGGAACCAGAGGAAGTATCTGCTTCTATGTTCAATATAAGGAAATGCTACTTGTGACTAAACGAAATTCTTACTGGATAATATCTTATGTGATACAATTACTAAAATAAAATTCCATCTTCGTTGCCAGCATCAAGACGTTAATTTCTATCCTAGTTATTTCAATAATTTTTCGAATATTTTAAGATTACTTGTCTTGGTCAAAGTTAAATACTACTGTAATATGTATTCGAGTTTCAAGAATAGATAAGGTCAATGTTTATCATTTTATTAACTCTTTTCCATAATAAAACACTAGGATTCTTCTAGTACCAATGGTTTCTTCCAAGTAGAAAATATCTACGTAAAAGACAAAATAATTTCACTTTATTTATTTTGGATGAACGCCTCTTGTGATTTATGGCAACATATAAAACAGCTAAACAAGCCAAAAATTTATCTTTCTTGTCAAGGAAATGATTTGGACGCATTGTTCGAAAATGTAGCTGGCATGCAAGGTCTTCTACGCCGTCGTGATTTTCCGTTCTATCGTCTAATCGATTATGCCACCGACCCCTATTGCCAAATCGCACTCAAAGAAGTGGAGAGTATCCCTCGATCCAATGGACTCATATTAAACACATTTGAAGATTTAGACGGCCCATTGCTCTCCCTCATTCGCTCTCATTGTCAACAAACTTATGCTATTGGGCCATTACACTTGCATCTTAAGACTAAACTTGCTGAAAAAAGGATGCCAATATCAGCCTCTTCAAATAGTTTGTGGGAAGAAGACCACAGTTCAATTCAATGGCTCGATGCGCAGCCCATCGAATCAGTAATCTATGTAAGTTTTGGAAGTATGGCAACTTTGTCAAAGGAGGAAATCTTGGAGTTTTGGCATGGGTTAGTAAATAGTGGAATCAGATTTTTGTGGGTCATGAGGTCCAACTTGTTAAGGGGAGAAGAATCGAACCACCAATTTGTGAAGGAGCTTTCCGAGGGATGCAAAGAAAGAGCCTACATAGTGAGTTGGGCTCCACAAGAAAAGGTATTGGCCCACTCTGCTATTGGTGGGTTTTTAACTCATAGTGGATGGAACTCGACTATGGAAAGTATTGTTCAAGGAAAGCCCATGATCTGTTGGGCTGTTTATGTGGACCAACGAGTCACAAGTAGATTTGTGGGTGAGGTGTGGAAAATTGGGGTGGACATGAAGGACATTTGTGATAGATACATTATAGAGAAGATGGTGAAAGATTTAATGGTAACAAATAGGGATGAGTTTAAGAAATCAGCTGAGAAATTATCTAATTTGGCAAAAGAAAGTGTTGGAGATGGAGGTTCATCGTACAATGCTCTTCAATGTCTCGTCGATGACGTTAAAAAGTTAGGCAGAAAAGGGAAGGATATCAAATCTAATTGCATTGGATAAAAAGGGTAAAGCTTAGCATCATTATTTTGTACACAAGGGCAACTGATATAAATAGTCCAATGTTCAACTAAAAGAATAGATATTTTCTTCTTCTTTTATTGGATACAAGTTATTTATCCGTAAAACAATACAGTTGAATTTATATGTGATTATTGTCAAATGAATTTTAGAAAAAAAAATATTTTGTCTAGATATAAAAGTCTATCATTAAAGATAAAATAAGTAAAATATAAGTTTAAAGTTAAATTCTTTTTAAATATATATAATTTTTTTTGAAACGGACTAATAAAAAAATGCGTAACATAAATTGAAACAAAAGAGTATACAAACAGACGATAGGTATATTTAAATTGGTACGGAGTGATCTAGCGGAATAGCGTGTGAGCTGATTAGTTTTGCCCATTTCATTTAGACGAGTGGGAATTGTACTGACTACTAGTATGCTGCCAGTCCTAAAGCCCACTTTTTATTACGCCCTCCTTTTCACGGGGAACTTCACAGGTAGCCACTAATTAGGGATTATTTATTCTTTAGCCATTATTTAAAATATATTTACTCTTTTAACTTATGCTTAATAAATTTTTACCTGTCCGAACAAAAATATCTCTGTGCTAGACATGGGTGCTGTATAAATATTAAGGACATGATATCCTTAACTTCATGAATGTTGTGTAAATTTTAAGGGAAAAGTGTCATGTATTTGCACCTTCCATTGTTAAACTTTAGGACATCATGTCCTTAACTTCATATGTGCAATGTAAATGTTAAGGACATGGCGTCCTTAACTTCATATGTGCAGTGTAAATGTTAAGGACATAATGTCCTTAACTTGTATTTGCACCTTTTGTTGTTAAACTTTAGGACCTTATGTCCTTAACTTCATATGTGCAGTGTAAATATTGAGGACATAATGTCCTTAACTTTATGAGTGTTGTGTAAATATTAAAGACATGGTGTCCTTAACTTCATGTATGTTGTGTAAATATTAAGGACAAAGTGTCATGTATTTGCATCTTCCGTTGTTAAACTTTAGGACATCATGTCCTTAACTTCATATGTGCAGTATAAATGTTAAGGACATGGCATCATTAACTTTATGTGTGCAGTGTAAATATTAAGGACACCATGTCCTTAATATTTACACAGCATTCATGAAGAAAGAGTAACAACGTCTTTTCGTATTAATTTTAATAGAGTAATGATTATTTTTGTTCAGCATTAAAAATATTGGATAAAAATTAAATACCATGTTAAAAAGTGGCTATCTCACGCCATTTCTACTCTTTTCATTTTATGTGACTACTTTTGAATGGACACTAAGGCCTCGCTTGTCCATAATTTTTTTTTTTTGTCAAAAAAATTCAAAAATATGTTTGTTCATAAAATTTTATACATTTTTGAAAATTTTTCGAAAATGAGTTTTAAAAATCAAAAAGTCTGTTTGACCACTTTTTCAAATTTATTTTTCTTTACTCACTAAACTGCAATATTTTTTCAAGTGAAATGTATGTCCAAATATAATTTCAAATATTATTTTTTAACTTTACTCCAAATACTATTTTTTTTTCAAAAATTATAATTTTTATGTCCAAACGCCTACTAAATCTTATATTCATGTAATATATTAATATGATGGAAGAGAAGACAAGTATTTGTTGAAAATAGAGCAAATATTACATCAAAATTTAAAATGCAAATAATTTAAAAATTAAAATTCTTGAAAATTAAAAAAAAAAAAAAAAAAACATAAATTGAAAAGAGGAAAGGGAGTTAGCAATGTTCATGGGATTTGCAATGCCCCTTTACATTATAGGCAGAAGAACTTCTTATTTGCTCCCAAAGTAAAGAAGAATACTAAAGCTCTAGTGCATGTTCAATCAACGTATTCACTATTCTCATATAAAATATTTTAGATTATAGTGGTAGTGATAATGCATTATTTAATTTTAAGATTTTAATCCTATAAAAGAACATGTTCCTCTGCTAGTGCTGTACAAATGAAACCGATAAGCCACACCAACCCGATAATTCGAGTCAAACCGAAAAAAAAAACTTGACAATATTTGGTTTGGTTTGGTTTTAACTAAATAAAGTCAAACCGAAATTAAACCAACCCGACATTATATGTATATAAGTTTTAAATATATTTAATACATCAAAATATTTATTGTAGTGTAGTTTATAAATATTTCTTAAGCTTTTTCATAATTTTATCTTTTAACGTATTATTTCAAGTTTGGAGTTACAATTTTTGGATGCCCCAATAAAATTATAGTTCATAAATGTTAGTAACTCAAATAAATCCTAAACCAAAATCAAATCAATACTAATGATAATAAAAGACATTCAATTCAATTGTACTGTGAATGAAAATAGTGTTGGATATCTATTTTTAGTTTTTCCATGGTTTAGATAAAATGCATAACTTATTTTTCTTTTACTGTTTAATCATGTAAATAATAGTACTTATTAGTCGTACTTATTTTAGCAACTTATTAGTAATTTTAAATTATGTTTGTTTCCATTATGACTTATTAATAATATTTATTTTATGTAATTTTTTCATCTTTATTGTTAAATATTTTAGTACAATGCCACGAATTATCTCATATTTATGTTATTTTATTAAAAAATACCTTATATAATTCTGTCTTACTAGGATTAAAGAAATATTTGGAACACAAATTTTATGTTTTGTGATATGAAGACTTTATGAAAAAAAAACCTAAACAACCCGAAAACCCGAAAAACCTTAAAAAATCGAAATTTAAAAACCCAATTTTTATTGATTTGACTTAGTCTTTATATTTAATAACCCGATTTGATAATTAAAAAATTCGAATCAACCCGACCTATTTACACTGTATCCTCTTTTATGTATACTTTGGTTACCGTAACAAGGTATAAACTCGTTTTACCTATTGTCGGGAAAGAAAAAACGTGGGTATTATTTAATTCAAAAGTTGTTTCTTCTCCAATTAAAATTCAGATCTAGTTTTTGTTTTTACCGTAAACGTATCTAATCAGTCTCTGTGCCGAATCGTTTCCATATGCTGTGAAGCCAGAATGTATTCATCTTGCGCCTACAAATAGTTTGTTTGATTAGTTTCAAGTATTTTTTTTAAATTGTGATGTTTAGTTAAGTTTTTAGAAAAAATAAAATATTTTCAATAAAAACAGAAACGGATTTTGAGAAACAAAAAAAATAACTTCTCCCTAAAAATATTTTTTTTTAAAAATAGACTAGAAATATTGTTAATCACTTTATAGATAAAACAATAATCGAGAAGGGGACCCCGAATCTTTTAGTACCTCGAAGCCAACAAAAACTAGAAACAAGGTCAATGTTTATCCTACTTTTCCAGATTTCATCATCGCCCTCGCTTGTCCAATTCTTCGTCTTTGTTATACGCAAAGTGACCTAAGTTTTATGTGTTTATTTTATTAGTTAATTAACTATTTTGGCCCTTTAAAATTGGTAATGGGGTTAGAATTTTCGTTAAAGAGAATACAAAGAAGCCAAAGAAATTTAATATATAATATGTATACATAATTTTTTTATCCACTTATACAGTGTAATCTTTTAACAAAATAATGTCAATTATCAGCCCCTGTTTAGAGCATCCACACTTCATCTCTTACAAAGGCCTTACTCATAAAAACCAACCGTGTAAAAGAAAACATGAAAACTCCTTTCTTTGACACTACTAATAGCTTATATTTGGTCAAGTTTTTCCAATGCAAAAGTGATTTTTTTTTTTTCAATGTTGAGGTGTTTGGCCAAATTTTTAGAAGGGCAAAACGTACTTTTAAGTAGAAGCAAATATTTTACAAATAAATTTATATACCAAAATAACTATATTCAACTTAATCTAATATTTAGCAATTCTAAACGCAAGTCTCCTCTCCAACAGGAGTAATATTTTTTGTTGTTAGTACCTTTAAGAGTTTTGGGATTGACACAACGTAGAAGGGGTATCTATGTGAATTCTATGTTGTAATTGATATTATATTGCTCTTTACCTAGGCATAATGGTCTGCATCACTCTCTACTTCTTTTCTTAAAAAAAAAGAAAGAGGTAATAATGAGTAATCGTCATGCACCATGTTCCAGCTTCATAAAAGACATACAAGAAAATAGATGCACAATGCAGATAGAAAAGAATTCTCATATGATTGAAGATGAATAAAGAGAAAGAAACTCAACAGTCACAAAACTCAATAGCAGTTAGGTCATAGGAGTAATCTGTTCCAACAACCCAATATGGTCTTATACCACCTACTGTGCTCCAACCTTTGCTAGTGTCATACTTATATGAAAATCAAAAACTTAATTATAATTTTTACGTCCTTATTCATAATTTGATACCCAAGAGCAGTTTTTCAAATGTTGGCCTAGCATAAATTGCTGCTCAAAAGTGCTTTTCAAATTGATTAGCCAAATATAAATTGTTTTTCTCCAAAGGCATGTTTTTGAAAAACATTTTTGAAAAAAAGAAGAAGTTGATTTTAGCAAATTAACCAAACAGACCAAAGCAATCACCGGCCAAGAAATTAAAGAGGAATTTACACAAAATACAACCTCTTTAAGACTTATTTAAATAAATTATAACTATTTACAAAAAATTACATAAAATACAATTTATATTATAATTTTTTAACTTTCTAATTAAATTATATACCACTTTAACAGCCCTTAAATATCTCATTTTAAAATTTAAAAATAGGAATTGCCTCCTAAAAATACTCCCATTTAACATAGAATTAGGGATTGCTTTCACTTCAATTTTATCAAATCTTTTATCTCCTTCGTACTAGCCAAGGTGGGTCATTTCTATGGGGAGTTCTGCAAATGGTGGAGGGTACTACCATTACTCATATTCTGTTGTGCGATCAGCTTTGACAGCATTGTCCCAGTTGACATTTATGTTCCAAGTTGCCAGCCTACTGCTGAGGCCCTTCTATACATAGTTTTTCAACTGCAGAAGAAGATTAATAGACGCAAGGATTTCCTTATACTAACTATGGATTATAGTATATTAATAATATATATTTGGTATAAGATACGAATATAAATAATAAATATGATATATTACTGCTAATATATA